ATTTATATCGAATAAAAATTAAATAAAAAAACTCACAATCTCAACAACGCTTTCCCTCCCTAGTGCCCCCACTCGCACCACAGAAAAAGGAAAAAAAACCCATAAAACTCGGACACACATTCACACATAACACTCACATCCAATAATACCAGCACCAAAGACCCGGCGGTACCGCTGGTTGGTCCCGGGATTATCGGATGACGCAATAAGTGAACCTAAGAGGGGTGGGGCCCTTTCTGTCATTTTTTTTTTTTCTCCAAATCTGTTTGTCTTTTTACATTTCAGAGACATACAGACAGATAACTCACAAGTGCACAAAACACCTAACAAAACCAAAAGAAAACACATTAACAAATTAAACATTCAAGGCGAAAAGCATTTAAAGATTACAGTGAGACAAAATATTTTTAGTTTGTTATCTTAGGGGTGTATTTTGAGACTTAGTCCAAGAGATTTAACCACAGTCCACAAGCTAGGTATGAAGTGATGGCATCGTCCTCCCTGGTTTTAGGCATCCCGACATCAGTGTTTTAGTTTCATAAATTTTTTAAACAAGTGAGTACATTTGGAATTAACATGAAGATAACAGACTTACAGCCACTATAAGAATAAAGACAGAAGCAGAATTTGCCAGAGTACATTCAGTCAATCCTCATGAGTATTCAACTTTTCCAAGAATAGCAAAAACTTTTCCCATATCTTTTTGAACACATAGTATTTATCCTTATTCATTAAGGTGAGTTTCTCCAGGGCTAGAGAGCTTGATAGTGTAGACATCCAAGTCTGGTTACAGATTTCCAGGACCTGGCTATACTATATTTAGCCTGCACCAAACAATAAATTATGGACTTTTGATCAACCTTGCTTATTTGAGTTTGAGTGGGAAAAATTCCTAAGACACACAACCTAGGACAGAGATTAGCTAAAGATTTTTTGGTTGTAAAATTCAGTCTGATTTATTGTCAGAAAATAAGGAAGTACACATTGACCTGCCAAACAATTCAATAAAAACTATTTTGTATTATTTCCATAGAATATTTAGCAAATTTGGTTTTTAAGCAAAGGTAGAATAAGATGTTAAAGGTGGTCTACAGTAAGAGTGTCTGATTGAGGTAAGTAGTTTTATCGCAGTTGAATTCAGCCAGACAAATTATATACAGCAATAAAATGAACTACCGATACATCCAATGTGATTCAATTTGCCTGTTAGCATATCAATTATGTTATCGCCTGGGATCTGAGAAGTAGACGCTTTATGATTGAATACCTAGAAATTTTTCTCTTAATTACACATTTTAAAAACATTCAGCTTAGCTGTGCATTTCCAGCACAGCTAAGCTGGCATTCTTTTTTTAACAGAGTTCTGATTCTGCTCAGAGTCATCCGCTCAGAAATCTTAATGATGTATTGTAAATTAAATATGTTTATGTGTTATTTCAGCTGATTGCATGTGCAGCAAAAGTTTTAGGTAGGACGTCATTTGCCTTTTCTAGCTTTGTACTGAGGGAATATTATCCTTTCTTGGAGTGCCCTGTCATATGATTCTGGCTACAGCAATGAGTGACAGGCTGTGAAAGCACAAGTATTATTGATATATAAAGTTTGTTTTCCCTAACCTATGTACTCAGAGTTTAATGATTAAAATAACAAAGAATAAAATGAAAATTGCAATTTCATTAAACATGTCATATATATATATATATATATATATATATATATATATATATATATATATATATATATATATATGTATACACACACACACTATATCAATGTTATATCAATTCTAAGCTGGACAGAAAGTTGCATATGTGGATTTGTCCCAGATATAGAAACCTGGGTAAAGTGGTACAGAGAATCGTTTCTCAAAGGTGTGCAGATGGGTCAAAGAGTTAGAAGACACTTGGTAGAAGGACAGCGTGCCGCCTGGCCAGTCTAGATAAACCCCAATCCTGTTGCATCCAGAAGGACGAGTAGAGGACCACATCTTTTTACTATTGTGCCATACACAATAACTATTGCTGTAAACACCAAAATACCAGGAGATATCATTATATCCAAACCCAGTGTGCAGGCCATTTCCGTTTCTTGGAACGCCTTCATATGCAAGACCAACCCCAATACCTTTAGTAGTTTCATTGCTCCACATAACTTCAAAGTAATGACAGCCTTTAAGACCCTCTCTGCAGAGAACCTGGGGGTATCGATTAAACCTCTTCTCTGTTTTAGGATATTGCTGCCAGGGTCCACATGTTGCTTTCTTGTCTCCTTCAGACAGAACGAGGTTCCCATTCACAGTTTCTGGGTCCAATGTGAGATCACAGTAGTCTGTTAGATAAAAATAACACATAAATAAATAACAAACTTATTTCCAAAATCAAAACTGGAAAATTCTTATACAATTGAAACTTATCTTTATGAGTCTTTGGCAAAAAATCAACTGCTCCTGTCTGAGTTCAGGTAGGATTACACAAATGATTAATGTTTGATAAACTGCATGACTATACAATAGGGGCTATTGCTTTTAAAACTGCTGCAGTTTATAATGTCTTGAGTGCTGTACTGAATGAAATTAATTTTTTCATACAGTCTGTGTGTACAAAACGAGAATAAAGTCTGTCTAGGTTTAAGTCTAAAAGTCTCATCGTCAAGT